CTATTCCAACTGAGTGTATAATAGCAGTGTATAATTGTCTAAAGGAGTGTCCTTTAACCCACATAATGGTTACATTTGAATTCCCTGAGTCTGTGCATACGTGAAGCATCCTTCTGAAGTTTGGTACCATCCCTTTCTACCACCACAGCTCTTATGTGTGTGCTTTCCTTTGCAGGCTTGGAAAGATTTTGGAGACTGAAGAAGTCGTAGAGGCTCTGATGGAAGGAATAGTGACCAACCAGAAAATGGTTTTTGTTCCACCCCAGCTAAACATTGCTTTGCTTTCTGAAATGTAAGTAGCAAAAGAAAATGAAAAAAATGAAAAAAATGGGAGTGGAAGCAGCAACAACTACCTGAGTATACGGGGCTCAAACTTGTAACATCTGAATCAAAAGTAATTTAATTTTATGGGAAACTGCATTTTCCACTCATGGTAGTAAAAGATATAGTTTGGCAGCATAGGGAAACCCTGAAATGACAGCTGGAGAGAAATAGTTTACATTCAGCCCAGTTTAATTTATTTTATATTCAGTATTGGACATTGTTATACTTATTAATCCAGATTTGACATCAGTATGCCTGTAGTGACTAGATGATGTGTAATTGTCTGCAGGAGACAGTATTATGTATTAAACAACCAGCCATCTAAAATATTTTAGTATGAGAACACATCACAAGGTAATGAAATAGCAGAGGTTCTTTCTAATGAGAACACACACAAAGATTTTTTGGAGCCCTCTCATCCATTAGGTCCTTCTAATCCACTTGCTGTAGATAACTGTTCTCAGTGGAGAGTTCAACTGCTTTACAGGCCAATAAGGAAGGAGAGGGAGAGCAGGACAACACCTTTTCCTCACATATCATTATTTTCCTCGGGCTTGCAAACAACACTTTCTCTGAATCAGCATCATTCCAGAAAGAGCTGAGGACCTGCTGCTTATTAGTGTTTGTTTCTTCATGTCAACACCAAAGATTGAGGTCATGGAGGCTGGGGATTTTGCTTCAAAAGGCTCTATTGCTCTTTGCCATGTAAAGCAAGATTTGTCCTCTCACACATCTTTAATATGCAGTGTAGCTGCTCTGCTGAGGAGGTGTTATTATCAGAGCTCCAGTTTCAAATCTGTAATTCACATCAGAACAACTAAGCTAACTTCCCAGTTAACTCCTGAATATTTCGTGAAACACTTGGTAATATCTTGCTTGCAAATCCCGACACCAGGCAGTCGGAAGAAGTTTTTCATTTGTTTACATCTCCAAGAGCTGCTTATTGACAGTGCAAGTCTGCAGAAGCATAGACAAGTCAAAACTAATGCTGTCAAAGCCCTTAGGTAACTTTGCTTTTTTGTCTTAATTTGGGACAGGGGGACAAAGAGATATAACTCTAAAGAGAAAGAATCCCAGGAGAGGAAACTGCACCTCAGTTTTAACATCTCATCCTTACTTAGGCCTTCCTTCTGCTTTTCAGAGCATGAAACGTGTAATGCACACATATATCTGTACAGTATTGAGCCTTCCTGGGTCCTGCAGCAATATTGCAACCCAAATACTGCCCAATAGATACCCAGCATTGGAACTGTCCTAACAGGACTTGGCTGGGACTGGAGTTTAATTAGTCAGAGATTGATGAGAGCTATGCGTTCTTTGGAAATAATGCCCAGTTTAAGACTTAATCTCACTCTGTGTCTGTGCATGCATTCTGGTCCCAGACCAGCTCTTCCCTCACCTGCAGTGCCACTTTTTCCCCTAATTTAATTTACTATCGTACGCTTAATTTCATGTTATTATCTCTTTCAGGGTGTTTCCAGAACGTGCCCTGAATGTCCTGAAGAAGCTCGCTGTTCCAAAGTTTGATGCAATCATTGGGCAGAGAAGCACCCAGTGAAAGCCAAGAATTGGTTCCTGTTTCGCAGTGGAATGAGTGAAAACAGAACATGTGCTGAGGGTAGTTCAGCTGGTTTGATACAGAACACAGATGGGTGCTTCCAGGCCACTGTTTCCGAGCACACAGCAGGGTTTATCCCACACCTGCAGCAGAAACATACCTGCATAATATGAAATGTTAGCAAAGTAGAGATGCAGCTCTATAAAGGCTGCTTTGAATGTATGTCACATCGCCTCTGTCTTGTAGTGTTGAGGCAGACAGGAATTCCCACAAAGCCTGTATTTGGGAAAGCAATGCTGCCTACTTGAGTGCAAAGGGATTGCCTGAAAATATGTTAATGTGGACTCATCCCTGAGCAAAAGCATCTTGCAAGAAAAAATTTATACAGCAGGTGGGTGGCCTGTTTCACCTCAATTTATATTTTTAAATGTAAAGAAAAAGTGCTCTGATGAACACTTACAGTTTCATGTGCATTTGTAATGTGTATTATTGAATTATTTTAATTAATTGTAATACTGAAATAATGCAGTCTTGTTTGTAATGTACTGCCTAATTACATCGATTATCAATTATGCCTTAGCACCATCAACACTCCTTATTTGAAATAAATACGTTTTTCTAACCCAAAGGTGTCTCTCAGCAGTGAAGACAGGAAGTAGGTCCAAGAAAAGACAGCAGAGCAAGTGCAATAATGAAAGGGTCAGCCAGAGCCTGCCAAACACCAGGCCAGGCTGCAGGGATGAGGCAGATCCTGTGGTCACACCAGGAAGTCACATCAGGATCAGTGAGGTACAGGGCCAGGCATGGCACACCACCAGCACAGCCCACACAAGGGCTGGGGCCAAGGCCAGGCCTTAAAGGTGGGTGCCAGGGCAGAGGGTACACAGGGGAAGGCTCCAGGTGAGCCTTCACACAGCTCCTCATCACAAGCCAATGTCCTGATCTGATGGGACCCACCTTGATCAGGAGGTTAAACCCCCAAAGGTCTTCAGCCTGTGGTACAAGAGAGCAGCACCTGATGAAACACGGGTCAAAGACCCCTTTGGAGCACAGATTATCTGTGCACCTACTTTGTGCAACTCCCAATCACTGCAGGGACTTGCTGGCTCGCAGCCATCTGAGGGAGGCCTGAACTTTGAACTTTGGCACAGTTGGGATCCATCCCGCTCACCTGAGCATTTCTTGTTGTCCTGCAAACAGGTTCTTCACAAAAGGTTGCAACATGGTCTAGTGATTCCGAGGAAAAGGCTCATAAAGACCCCTGAGATAGACAAGTCAACATCCCGATGACTAGGCCCTCTTGTCATACTGGCTTCAGAAGGACACATCAGACAAGATATTTGGCTTCTCCTGGCACACCATTCGCACTAGCCTTGTGCATTATTCAGATTCTTGCGGCAGCATCAAATTGGAAGACACAAATCCATCTAGGGAATGACAGACAGCACTTTCCTGCAGAGTGTGTTTCTCAGCATACTTGATCCTAGGAGAAGGGAGACTGTGTTCACTCCTGTTTTGCCAGATCTAGTCCAGTCTCTCAGAGCCCAGAGGAATCACTGGGCAAGGCAGCTTGTGCAGTACTTCTTATGTGGCTTCAGTTCTTCTCTGTGTCTCCTATGGCTGCAAGTCTTCTGCTTGGAGTAAAGAAACTTGTGCAAAAGCAAGGAGTTAAGCCTTCATCTCCTGAATGCCAGTGACAGAATTGATTCATTAGGCCTCCCAGGCTTCTCAGTTCTCTTTTTGGCCACAGCAGTCAACAGAAGCTTATCCCATAGTCTGGTCATTATTGGTGCCCAGCAGGAGCCTATGTGAGCAAGCTTCATACAGTCACCTACAGCCGAGTCCCAAATTTGAAGAGCAATATCTCACACCCTGGCTTAGGAGTCATTACGAGTCAGGCTGGTGACTCTGGCCTTGTGCTCTGCCTCCTGCTGAGGTGTCTCTTAGAGACAATGGTTCTATGCCCTGCCTGCCTCCCCTGTTTTGGCCACGGCACTGGCTGGAGCCCTGTGCCAGGAAAATGACAGCACCTCTGAGTGGTGCAATTAGGGTCTGGCCCAAATGCTGATGTGTTAATTAAGCAGAGAATGAAGTTCCAAGAGAAAAAGAGGAAGTGCCTAGCTTGGAATGTCTCTGCTGAAGCTGACCCAGTCTCTCATAGGCAAGGTTAGCAACAACGCATCCAAACCACCAGGACAAAAACAATAGTTTTCAAGAAGTAATATCTTAACTGGAGATGATTTTGGTCAGTTGGCAGATATTCATGAATCCCTCACTCTTCCCCAAGCAGCTCAAAAATATGCTTAAATAAAATGATGAACGTGACTCTGATACATCTAGTTTTCTAACTGAAAAGCAGTAAGGTCAACAATCCTTTTCAGGTAAGACCATGCAGTTACATTGTTGGAGCTGGAAAAAAACACTTGAAACTACTTTTCTCCTGTTTACTATAAGCACTCCTGTTCTGGTTAAGGTTCTGAATACTCCCTTACACACAAGCAAGTTGTGTGATTTAGACTCAATTAGAGAAGGATGACCCAACTCACACAGTCAATGCCGTTTTCCAAAGGACTTGAGGAAGCTAAGCAGCCATAGCATAAGATGGAAGGTCTGAGTATGAATCACTAGTTAGGAGACAGAAAAAAAGAGAGCAACCAGGCAAGAGCTCACCTGTGGAGTTCCACAAGTTGAACAGACTTGTCTCATTTAGCTTTCTTTAAGTGACCAGGAAGACGAAGGTATGGGACAAAGTCTGCTGACAATGCACAGATACATAATGGAAGGAAGAACCACGGAGAAAACCACTCAACTCATGGAACTGAGCGACTGCACAGTCGCAAAGCAGAATTTGAGACAAACACAGAGTTGAGGGGAAATTCGAGATGCTTTTGCCAGTAACTGGATGAGCACTTTTGTTGCCAGTTGTGTCCCTCCTGCACGTGCTGCAGACGACAAATAAGAACAAGAACCACTCACGCAGTGCCGGCAAAAGGGCACCGGAGAACTCCTTGCGGGGCTGGGCGGAGCAGCCCCCCCCGGCTCCCGCCCCCAGGCGCAGGGGTGGATCCTGCGGGGAACTGACAGGACGAGCAGTGAACGCTGAGACTGCCGCGGGCAGCTGGTAAATCAACAACCCACGCCCTCGTCAAAAGAGACTAAAGTTCAGTTCGGCCATCAGAGGACCCTCGGAAAAAAAGCAATGAATCTGTTTGTGGAAACTTTCCTGTTCCTGGGCACGCTCGCCTACTCCTACCTGGAGGCTTTCGTGAAGCTGTTTGTCCCCGTGAGGAGGAAGTCTGTCAGCGGAGAGCTTGTGCTCATCACGGGTGCTGGCCATGGCGTCGGCAGAGCGACCGCCCTCGAGTTCGCCAAGCGCCAGAGCAGGCTGGTCCTCTGGGACATCAGCAAGGTAATGGCACAGCTCGTGTCCTCGCTCCTTCGCCTCCGAGCCCCACGGGGTTCGAGAGCCTAAGAGGGGCATCACCACATTGCATCCACAGCAGATCCTTCTTTCCCCCTCCGCTGCCGTCGGCTCACGGCCGGCTCTGGCGGGGACGCTGAGCGCCAGGAGGGGGTTTGGCCCCGCTGGCAGCGGAGGATGGAGGGCTCTGGGTCCCACAGTTCCTCGGTGCTGCTCAGCGAGGGAGCAGGCACCGCCTGGCAGAGTCCCTGCGAGAGGGAAGGAAGCGCTCGGAGAGCTGCTGTTGGAAGCGCTGCCCGGGCTGGCGGGCAGAGCGGGCTGAGAGCAGCAGCCTGGTTCC